GAGATTTTATAGGGGTTATGACACTAGTTAGATCGTATATCATGTTTAAATAAACTACTCGTTGAAAAGTTAGATAAGATGACCATGTACCATGAAAATATATTTAGACTACATTAATATAAGTTGAGAGTGTGGTTTGGTATTTTTAAAAAATACTAAAGTGTTTTAAAATTATAGATAGCATTTATCAGAAAATTCAATTTTTCAAAGGTGTTAACCCACATATTTCAAGAAAAAATATAAAATTTTGTATTTTTATTTTAATGCATATTTTCATCATGCTCGGACATAGTATGAAGATTCAATATGTCTGAGACCTTATATATTCCTCTTTCTCTAGAAAATAAATATTTTATAGGGGTTAGTACACTAATTAGATCGTATATGAAGTTAAAATAAATTACTCGTTGGAAAGTTATAAATCATGACCATGTACCATGAAATATTTTTAGCCTACATTAATATACATTGAAAGTGTGTTTTGGTATTTTTAAACATCACCAAAGTGTTAAAAAGTTATAGATAGCTTTTATTACAAAATTCATATTTTCCAAAGGGGTTAACCCACATATTTCAAGAAAAATTAGAACTTCTTTTATTTTTTTTAATGCATATTTGCATCATGAACTCAAATATTAGGAACATTAAAGAGGTTTGAGACCCTATGTGTTCCCATTTCTCTACAAAATAGAGATTTTATAGGGGTTATGACACTAATTAGATCGTATATCAAGTTTAAATAAACTACGCGTTGCAAAGTTAGATATGATGACCATCTACCATGAAAATATGTTTAGACTACATTAATATACATTGAGATTGTGGCTTATTATTTTTAAACAACACTTAAGTGTCTAAAAATTATAGATAGCATTTATCAGAAAATTCAATTTTTTTCAAAAGGGTTAACCTACATATTTCAAAAACAAAATAGAAATATTTTTATTTTTTTTAATGTATATTTTCATCATGCTCGAACACAGTATAAAGATTAAAGAGGTCTGAGACCTTATATATTTTCTTTTCTCGAGAAAATGGAGATTTTATAGGGGTTAATACACAAATTAGATCGTATATGAAGTTTAAATAAATTACTCGTTGAAAAGTTAGAAATGATGAACATGTACCATGAGAATATGTTTAGACTACATTAATATACATCTAGAGTGTGGTTTCATATTTTTAAACAACATCAAAGTGTTTAAAAATTATAGATAGCATTTATTAGAAAATTCAATGTTTTCAAAGGGGTCGTCAACCCACATATTTCAAGAAAAATTAGAAATTTTTTTTATTTTTGTTTTAATGCATATTTCAATCATGAACTGGAATATTATGAAGATTAAAAAGGTTTGAGACTTTATGTGTTCCAATTTCTCTACAAAATAGAGATTTTATAGGGGTTATGACACTAATTAGATCGTATATCAAGTTTAAAATAAACTACGCGTTGGAAAGTTAGATATGATGACCATCTACCATGAAAGTATGTTTAGACTAGATTAATATACATTGAAAGTGTGGTTTGGTATTTTTAAAGAACACTAAAGTGTCTAAAAATTATAGATAGCATTTATCGGAAAATTCATTTTTTCAAAGGTGTTAACCAACATATTTCAAGAAAAATAAAAAAAAAATTGTATTTTTATTTTAATGCATATTTTCATCATTCTCGGACATAGTATGGGGATTAAAGAGGTCTAAGACCTTATATATTCCCCTTTCTCTAGAAAATAGAGATTTTATAGGGGTTAATACACTAATTAGATCGTATATGAAGTTTAAAAAACTTACTCGTTGAAAAGTTAGAAATGATGAAAATGTACCATGAAAATATGTTTAGCCTACATTAATCTACATTGAGAGTGTGGTTTGGTATTTTTAAACAGCACCAAAAATTTTAAAAATTATAGATAGCATTATTACTAAATTCAATATTTTCAAAGGGATTAACCCACATATTTCAAGAAAAATTAGAAAATTTTGTATTTTTATTTTAATGCATATATTTATCATGCTCGGACATAGTATGAAGATTCAAGAGGTCTGAGACCTTATATATTCCTCTTTCTTTAGAAAAAAGAGATTGTATAGAGGTTAATACACTAATTAGATTGTATATGAAGTTTAAATAAATTCCTCGTTGGAAAGTTAGAAATCAAGACCATGTACCATGAAATATGTTTAGCCTAAATTAATATACATTGAGAGTGTGGTTTGGTATTTTTAAACAGCACCAAAGTGTTTAAAAGTTATAGATAGTATTTATCACAAAATTCATATTTCTCCAAAGGGGTTAACCCACATATTTCAAGAAAAATTAGAAACTTTTTATTTTTGTTTTGATTCATATTTTCATCATGAACTCAAATATTAGGAACATTAAAGAGGTTTGAGACCTTATGTGTTCCCATTTCTCTACAAAATAGAGATTTTGTAGGGGTTAATACACTAATTAGACCGTATATCAAGTTTAAATAAACTACTCGTTGCAAAGTTAGAAATGATGAACATGTACCATGAAAATATATTTAGACTACATTAATATACATTGAGAGTGTGGTTTGGTATTTTTTAAAGAACACTAAAGTGTATAGAAATTATAGATAGCATTTATCAGAATATTCAATTTTTTTCAAAGGTGTTAACCCACATATTTCAAGAAAAATTATAAAATTTTGTATTTTTTTTTAATGCATATTTTCATCATGCTCGGACATAGTATGAAGATTCAAGAGGTCTGAGACCTTATATATTCCTCTTTCTCTAGAAAATAGAGATTTTATAGGGGTTAGTACACTAATTACATTGTATATGAAGTTTTAATAAATTACTCGTTGGAAAGTTAGAAATCATAACCATGTACCATGAAATATGTTTAGCCTACATTAATATACATTGAGAGTGTGGTTTGGTGTTTTTAAACAACACCAAAGTGTTTAAAAGTTATAGATAGCATATATCACAAAATTCATATTTCTCCAAAGGGGTTAACCCACATATTTCAAAAAAAAATTAGAATTTTTTTTTTGTTTTAATTCATATTTGCATCATGAACTCAAATATTAGGAACATTAAAGAGGTTTGAGACCTTATGTGTTCCCATTTCTCTACAAAATAGAGATTTTATAGGGGTTAATACACTAATTAGACCGTATATCAAGTTTAAATAAACTACGTGTTGCAAAGTTAGAAATGATGAATATGTACCATGAAAATATATTTAGAGTACATTAATATACACTGAGAGTGTGATTTGGTATTTTTAAAGAACACTAAAGTGTCTAAAAATTATAGATAGCATTTATCCAAAAATTCAATTTTTCAAAGGGGTTAACCCACATATTTCAAGAAAAATTAGAATTTTTTTTTATTTTTGTTTTAATGCATATTTGCATCATGAACTGAAATATTATGAAAATTAAAGAGGTTTGAGACCTTATGTGTTACCATTTCTCTACGAAATAGAGATTTATAGGGGTTATGACACTAATTATATCGTATATCAAGTTAAAATAAAATACTCGTTGGAAAGTTAAAAATGAGAGTGTGGTTTGGTATTTTTAAACAACACCAAAGTGTTTTTAAAAATTACAGATGGCATTTATCACAAAATTCAATTATTTCAAAGGGAACCCACATATTTTAAGAAAAATTAGGAATTTTTTTTATTTTTAGTTTAATGCATATTTGCATCATGAACTGACATATTATGAAGATTAAAGAGATTTGAGACCTTTTGTATTCCCATTTCTCTACAAAATAGATATTTTATAGAGGTTATGACACTAATTAGATCGTATATCAAGTTTAAATAAACTTCTCATTGAAAAGTTAGATATGATGACCATGTACCATGAAAATATGTTTAGACTACATTAATATACATTGAGAATGTGGTTTGGTATTTTTAAACAACACTAAAGTGACTAAAAATTATAGATAGCATTTATCAGAAAATTCAATTTTTCAAAGTGTTAACCCACATATTTCAAAAAAGAATTAAAATAATTTGTATTTTTATTTTAATGCATATTTTTATCATGCTCGGACATAGTATGAAGATTAAAGAGGTCTGAGACCTTTTATATTCTCCTTTCTCTAGAAAATAGAAATTTTATAGGGGTTAGGTAACAAATTAGATCTTATATGAACTCGTTGGAAAGTTAGAAATGATGAACATGTACTATGAAAATATGTTTAGCCTACATTAATATACATTGAGAGTGTGGTTTGGTATTTTTAAACAACACCATGTAATCATATTTGCCTATATATATACTTTTACATGGCTTTAAATAAATTATGAATATCATACTCCTCATTATAATTTACCTTTATTAGTTAAATAAATGATTAGATTTAAATATGTTTGCTTCTTTTAATTAGTTTTAAATATATTAAATTGTATTTATATTTTCAACTAACTTACAAAATAATAATAAGATATATATATATATATATATTTAACTTAGTATTGGTATATTAAATTGAATTAAATATAAAATAAAAAATCAATTTAAAATTTTAGTAACATATGTAAATGAATAGAAACACATGTAATCTATATTGTACATATGTTATAAAGATTTCGTTAAAATGAAAAATAAACAGTATTTTTCTAAAAGTACAAGTTATAAAATATGATATATTTATTTTTATAAGATGAGTAAGTAAAGTTAATTCGAGATACAAAGTATCCGATCAAAGGTCTACCGAATTAAAATGAATAACTTCGAAGGTGAGAAAACTTTTTATAATTTCAAAAGCAAAAAAAAAAAACGAAACAACAAGAGCATGATCCTATCACCAACACTACTACTATATTGCACCAAAAAGACAAGAAGACAAAACAATTAAACAATTACATCAACGTTGAGTCGTTGCTTGTACAAATGGATAATTGTTTATTGACAACGAACATGTGTAAATGATCCAAATTCGATTTTATAAATTGCTCGCTCTTCAGATCCAAGAGGTTTCACATTGCTCTCGCTCGTGGAAGATCCGATCTTCATCAAATCGATTTATTCTCCGGTAAAGACTCTATCTTCACAGCTCTATTTGAGGTGAGTTTCTCTTTGTTTTCACTGAAACCTTATTCAGGTTTCATTAAAAGTCATCGTCTCTGTATGAGTAGTGTTCAAATGATTAAACCTTTTTGTTCTATTTTTGCTTTTGAATGATTCAATGCCTGACTTAGATCCAGTGACGTCCCTGACTAAAGCAAATTTATATAAATGTGGCTCTTAAATTTTTATACTATTTTTTTATATAATTTGATTAACACATAAAACTAGATGAAATATACATCTATTAAGCTATTTTACTTGTTAGAAAATTATTTTGTCCTTTTTAGTTTTATTTTAAATTTGTAAGATAGAGAAAATGATTGGAAAAGCAATAGCGAATAAAATAAAAACAAACAAAATATTAAAAAGACTATAAAAGAATAGATAGATCTTAAGGTAAAAGAAGAAATAAATAATGTAAATATTAGTGAACATATTTTGTTAGTTGTAATTAGAGTATAAGGGAAATGTTGCCGCTATACCAGTATCAAGTTTTGCTGTATGGCCTTAATTTTTATTAAAGATTAGGTGATCTAAAGCTAATGTTTTCTCTGCCTTATGAAAGGACCGGGCTAAGTTAGAATCAAGCACATCATTTAGTGCCTGGCTAAGATTGTTATAAATTATTTTACTTTTGAATCTCTAACTAATATATTACACATGTAACTCGTTTCTTCAAGGATCTTGAACTCAGGAGCTTTCTTTGTTAAGAAGAGTTGATGTTATCTCTGGCATTCAATCTAATCTAATTTGTGACCAAAAAATGAAGAGGAATAATATATTCCTTAATAATCTTAAAATATTTTACCATTTATAAAGAATACTTTTTCTTTTCTATTCGTTCTCATTCATTTTATATCAAAGTAATATATAGCAAATTTGACTAAATTAGACAAGAAATAATCATTTATTATTTTATAATTTTATTCTTATTCACTATTTTCATATTCATTTTTAATGTTGATGTGATGGTTATCAATTAGACCTTTAAATCACAGTGTTCACCTGACTTGAACTGATAAAAGATGTTTGGTGGAAAAACTTACATGCAAAGAGGAAGTGTATATCTTGCATTAGTTATCATCCTTTTGATGATCACACTCCTGGCTTCTGAGGAAACCCCATCTCGTGCTTCTCTCTTTGATGTACAACGTCCGTTTTCAGCTTCTTCTTCTTCAGGTAGTTTTATGCAGCTTTTGTTTTTGTCTAGTGCAATAGTTTGAACCTTTGTTGTAGTGTGGTTTTGTGATACATTTTGGTTTCCTATTCAGTTTGTAACTATGCAAAAGGAAAATGGGTTGCAGACAAGAAGCGACCATTGTATTCTGGTTTTGAATGTAAGCAGTGGTTATCATCCATGTGGGCTTGTAGAGTAATGGGCAGACCCGATTTCTCTTTTGAGCGTTACCGCTGGGTACCACGAGGTTGCAACATGCCACAGTTTAACAGGTTCACCTTCTTGAGAAGGTATGTACACAATTTTCTTGAACCATCCGTGAACGGCCTTCTTATTTAATAATATGTATAGAGATTGGGTTATTGTGTAAATATGTAGTCAGTGCCGTCTTAAGCAAGCTAGTAAAACATTGACCTATAACCCCTAAAAGTTTAAGAAAACTTTTACAGATATATAGGTCTTAAATTTGTAATAGATTTTTTTATTTATATATAAACCTTTATTAAATTACCGATAGCCCTCAAAATCTCAGTACCTACCCTAAATGTGCAGCAAGTTCTTAAACGTTTTTCATATTGAGTACTGCAACTTTACTTATTCTTTAATTTTTTTTTATAGAATGCAGAATAAGACAATAGCATTTATAGGAGACTCGCTGGGACGACAACAGTTTCAGTCTCTCATGTGTATAGCCACTGGTGGTAAAGAGAGCCCAGAGGTTAAAAACGTGGGATGGGAGTACGGTCTAGTCACACCCAAAGGAGCTCCCCGTCCTGATGGTTGGGCTTATCGGTTCCCTTCCACAAACACAACCATCTTGTTTTATTGGTCAGCTAGTTTATCAGATTTGATCCCCATGAACAACACTGATCCACCTCCACTCACCGCAATGCATCTAGACCGTCCACCAGCGTTCATGAGAAAGTACCTTCACCGTTTTAATGTGTTGGTTCTAAACACTGGCCACCACTGGAACAAAGGCAAGATCGAAGGCAACCATTGGGTGATGCACGTGAATGGCACACGTGTAAAAGGAAAGTTTCTCAAGGATATTAGTCACGCTAAGGCTTTTACAATACACAGCGTTGTGAAGTGGCTAGATGCTCAACTTTTATTGCATCCGCGTTTGAGAGTTTTCTTTAGGACGATATCTCCGATAAATTGGAATGGGAACTGTAACAACACGGTTCCTTTGTCTAGAGGAAGTGAGATCAAAGGCAATGGTGGGTCGATGGATAGAGTGGTGGAGAGTGCTGTGAATGGGACGAGGGTCAAGATTCTTGACGTAACTGCACTTTCTGAGCTGAGAGTTGAAGCCCATATCGCAGGGTCTAAACTCAAACCTAAAAAACCTAGTAACGTGACTTCCACGGCTCCAACGGTTAATGATTGCTTGCATTGGTGCTTGCCTGGGATCCCGGATACTTGGAATGAACTTTTAATTGCTCAGATTTAAAATACTCAAACACATTGGTGCAAAAAAAAAGGGTAGTTCAGTGGATTGGCTCTGTTGATTCTTTGTTATAGCAAGGTTTTGGTTTTGTCTTTTCATTCTTTCTCGGAGAAAAACAAAGGCTACAGTGTTGACTAATATGATTACACAGTTAAACACTTATGTATTGGTTACAAAGTTTAAAGCCGGTTCGGTTTTCAGTTAGGTTAATAGGCGAATATGTGATAAAAATTGGTTCTAATTTGATTTGGTTTCGGTTAATTTCAGATAATACACGTACAAAGACAGTTTTTTCAGTTTTCGGATTAAATATGGGTAATTCAAATAAATTTAAATATTTGAATTAAATATTTGGATAATTTGGTTCTTTCGAATAATTTGGATAATTTTAAATATTTTAGATAAAAATGTGGTTATTTTAGTATTCTAGTTGGTAACTTTAAAACTAAATATATTTTATATTTTCAGGTATGTATAGTTACTATTTGTAGAGCTCAGTTCTAGTTCTGTTTTAAGTTTTTGATACAAAAAATATAAGAACCATTCGGTTATTGTGAATTTAGTTTAGTTTTCTCAGTTCTGCTTTGGTTTTTTGATACTAGAAATATAAGAACAAATCGCTTAGTTGTAAATTTTGGTTCGGTTTTGAGTTTTTTTTTTTTTGAACTTTTGGTTTCGTTCCATGTAGGCTTTCGGTTATTATTGAAACAATCTCTCTTTTTTGAACCGAAACCAGTAACGGTAACGGTTACACGGGGTTGGTGCAGGTCTTTCACGTAAATACGTAATGGCAGCACATGAGTTTACTATAATACAATAGATGTAGTGTAGAAACGTCGTCATCATCATCTTCTAGTAATATTCGCAAGAAGACAAAAGTGATCATCAATCGTTTTCTCAAAGAAATAAAGTCGACTCTTAACGTAGAGTTTCCTCCCAAGCACAAAATATATTACATATCTGACGAATCCAATACAACGAACTAGGCAATACACATTACACATACTGACACACATCAGTTACCAGTTCAGAAAAAATACAAATACATTAGATTTTTCAATTGTCTTAAACATGAAGATTCTCCTCTTCCATAGATTCTCTGACTGCTTTTAAAATTAATGGCTTGAGTTTCTTGGTGGTAACTATGATCCCCCTTTTGTGATCAAGACGCTTTCCTTTTGAGAAGTCCAAAGGTGCCCCTTCAGAATCGCAAACGACGCCTCCAGCTTCTGCGAACCAACACTTCTCATTGTTTTTTTTTAAACTAACAGTTCTCAGTGTTTAAAGATTGTTTATGTACTATATATATAAACCTGTTGTGATGATTGAACCAGCTGCATGGTCCCATATCCACTCACGGTATCCAACAAGAGTGAAACGCAAGTACATCTCTGCATCTCCTCTTGACACAGCTGCATACTTTGCTTGGCTATCTATCCTTATAGGTAACGCTGTGATCCCAAGTTTCTGCGCAAACCGTAAAAATCCCACCAGGTTATAGCAGTGCCATTTACATGGGGACAAACGGTGCGACCGCCTGATCCAATCCAGTTTCCAACTTTCCACTATGTTTTAATAGTTTGTTTAATTTTTTCTAAAAATATATTTTTATGCAAAAACATTAACTAAAAAAGTCTAAATCTATTTTATATAAACATAATTTTGTTTTCACTATAAATTTTATAAAAAGGTTACTTATTATATTTTCTTACAAAAAATATTTATTACTAACTTAAAATAAATATTAAGTTTACGAGTTCAAAATTCTTTTTGTCTGTAAATAAAATTATTGAGCCAGCCCGGATTATGGTTACATGAGAGCACACTGTAATACAACAGAGCAAGATCTTTAACCTTAGCAATGGAACTATGGAGAGGAATTGGCATGTGGTATGATTCTAAGAACTTTGCTTCTTCAAGATTCTCATTGCTACTCACTTTCACCTGTTGTCAACACATGTGTGTTTACTCTCTTACAACGCTTATCACACGTTTCAGCTTTTAGATAAGGTAAATGATATATACCTCTTGTGGTGGAGAATTGCCATTGAGCGGTTGCACGTAAGCCCCTGAACCAGTTGTGGCATAGAAAAGACATCCAACATTGTCCTGACAAGACTTGTCGTCTCTCTCAACAACCTCAGAAGACAAAGGAAGATTCGGACAAGCCATGACACCAAGAACCACTTTTCCTTCCACAAGCAAGGCTAATCCCACAGCGTATTGCTCTCCTCTTACAAACCTAAAACAAAACAGAAAAGTTTACTTGCTGAGAAAGTTAAAGTGTAAGGAAAGATGAGATGTGTTTACCCTCTTGTTCCATCTATAGGATCAAGAACCCAGTGACAACCACTGCTACCTCCTTGTGAGTTACCACAGTCTATAGCATTCAACACATCCTGTGTTGTAATAGGAGAGTCTGCGTATGATTCATCAGAAGCTAGAGTATCTCTCACAAGCTTTGTTATATCTTCAAGAAACACCTCACTTCCTTTCTTCCTCAAATCTTCAGTATCCTGTAAGAAGATTCATGTTAAAACTCAACAAACAAAACCTTTTGATCAACAAGTTTTAAAGTTATTACCACCTCCTCAGCTACTAATGAGAGGGTTACAGGTTTGAGCTCCCTTTGTAATACAATACTAACAACAGCTTGTGACCCTGAAGAAACAATCAATTAGTTGTGTTAAGGTAAGTGGTAAGCACACATTGAGGTACAAACCATAATCAGCTGCAGTGACAGGAGTTTTGTTGGATTTTGTCCATACTTCTGATTGCAACAGAGTCTTTTGTACCCCCTATATCAATTCATGTAACACAGTATTTATTTTAGTTTATGATTCTTGCTCCAATAAGTGTATTTTGTTGAACATATACGATTATAGATGGTGGAGTTTCTTACTTGGCTGAGATGAGCAGCTAGAGAAACAGCTTTCTTTGCAGCGGTTAGCTCTTTCTCGTACGACATGACAAAGCTTCAAGAATATATTATATCAAAAAGCTTATACTATATAGTTTTAGTGAAACAATCCATACATGTTTGTTACATATATATAGAGTTTACGTATGCATTATTTGTTTATTCAACAGCAGATACTACATTTTAAAAAACGTAAGTTTCCTGGTAGATGTTGCAGACCATCTTTCACGTTTAAAGACAGAACACGTTGACGTTTACGAAAGAAAATTAAAAAGAATAAGAATTTTATCGAATATGTTAAGACTGTAGACTAGAGAAAAGGATATATATGAAGGGGACTTTTGTTATTAGTCATCATATATTAATATTACTCGTAAGAAAGACAAGAGTGATCATTAATCGTTAAACACTAAACAAATCAGTGTTTCACCTAACCAGTCCATTAATCTTTTCTATATGATATAACAAATTTATATAAGAAGTTTCGCCGAAGTTTGTTATCTTTTTCATTATTGTCAACTATTCTTTTCCTTTCTTTTTCTGCGAAAGTCTTTTAATTAGGCATTTTTATATGTGACAGAGAAAGAATCCTTATCTTTATGAACCTTCCCCAAGATTTCGTTAACTTCGCAAGACAGTCCCAAAAGTTTTCAAATTACATTCGCATCGTGTTTCAGATGACCAAGCTGAGCATTATGATAATGTTTCAACAATGCGTCAAAAAAAATTATTGTTTTTTTTTATATATCAAAGTTGGTTTTTTGATGATAATATAGTCTGTGTAATAAAAACACAGAGGCAGAGAGTATACCAATGAGAAGAATAACAAGTATATTACAGTTGCGTGTCAATGAAGTTTCAAAGAATCAGCTTCCTCTTCTTCTTTAATGGATTCTCTTACCACTTTCAAAAGCCTTGGCAATAGTTTCTGTGTTGTCACAACGATTCCTCTCTTGTAATCAAGATACTTCCCTTTTGAAAAGCCCAATGTATTCTGAAAGACGCAACATCAGACAAAGATTTGTGTAACCATTGTACGTCCCAAAAGCAATAGATAACAAAGGGTGAATACCTGAAACTAAGTGTGATAACCGAAGCTCACAGCTCTGCAGGACACCGACTCTAAGCCCTTACCGTGGGAGAAACTGGCTCCACATCCATCGGTAGGTTATTGATGCGTTTGGAGTTACTCGAATCCAAAATCTCACCATTTAACAACTTTCCACAAGACAAGTTGTCACCAATTGAACTGCAACAGTCATCGGATCAAAGTGTAAAACATTATTATTACGTTTCCAAGAGCCCAATCAGCTGAGTCAAAGTATGGTCACTCATGATCCTGATATAAAAACAAAGCTCCTGCTGTGATGATGGTCGGACATCTTCGAACCCGTCTTCCTTGTCCGTTGCAGCGACCATTGCACCTTGGATTGTGTTGCGGTTACGCTTGTTGGAGTCTTTCCATTTCCAGCCACCTTTGCAAGTCTCCTTCTTATGCGCTGGAATAGAAGTTCCTCAGTGATGAACTTTTGTTGGAAACTTGTCCCCGAAACCCACAACAAAGCTCATGTTGAGTGGGTTTCTTCCAAGGATAGTTCACCTACAAAAAATAGATCATAGTTAATACCCACAATTTTTACTCTTGTTTTTGCTTCATGAAGGAGGATGGGAGAATACCTGTGGTGATGACATGGAAATTGCAATAGTTTACTCAAGTGGCATCATTCTAGTCTTCTAGAAGGACTTTGTTTAAGAAATCAACATTGTTTTAGAATATCCAACAACTCATGTCCTTAGGATCCGTGACATTTATACATTACCGTCTCAAATTATTTCTAAACCGTATTCAAAAATTATTAATAATATATTTAACAATTAATCAAAAAAATAAAGTTAATAACTATGTTTTCTTGTATCTTTTAAAATTATAAGTTATACTCTAGGAATATATCTAAATTTAAAATTTTATCATAATTTATCTGTATATTTATAAAAAGTTCTTATTTTTTTCTTAATTTTTGCTTAGTTTTTTCTTATTTTTTATACTTGGACCATGTTCAACCGCTTCATTTACACTTGATATTAGAGAATTTATACTTGCATAGTTTTTTAGTTAGAATTGAAATATACAGTATAACTATGTAAATCATTTCTATTGATGGACATACAAAAATCATATCATTTTTCAGTCTTTCGAATTCAATAAACTTCCATCAAGGAGACATTTATCTTAGCCGTGACTAGACTGACAAGAAACAAAATACAAAATCAGATTTCACCTCTATAAAATATTTAAAACAAGAACCAAATTAAACGAAAATGGAAAAACCATAAAACAAAATTGTAGTGATTACTGAGATAATTTGAATAAATAAGTGTTTGAAATATGTTTTTGAAAATAAGTATAATTTACATTGGAATTCTAAAGTGACACTTTTTATGCAACAAGAAAAAAAATTCTAGAATAAACACTTATAATAAAACAGAGGGAGTATCAAATAAGTATTTAAACCAAATTTTGGTTGAGTAAAATACCAGATCTAGTTTAGTGACAATGCATTAATTTAGTGACAATGCATGTGGTTACAATTTTAGAAGAAAAGCCTAAAAAATCTCCAACATAGTTACTATAAAAAATAGAGATGAATGGCTCACTGTCACTTTCGGAGAATTCTTCGGGCAAATGTCATATAAATTCAGCATAATAATATGACTCAGATGTCCACATGTATTCCTTCTGTTTCATTTTAGTTGTCATTTAAGTTTTTGCACACAGATTAAGCAAATATTTAATTTTACATATTTTCAAGATAAAAACACAATTCCTATACACCTAACCACTTTTTAACCAATAGAAAAATAGAATATCATATAAAACTAATAATTTTTTCCTCAAAACGGAACTTACTTTGAAACAATTTTGTTCCTCCAGCATGACAACTAATTCGAAACGGAGGGAGTATAATCTTTTTTCTAGACATTGGGTGAAGAAGTTGGGTTTTGGTATTTGTGAATGTACACATCATTAATGACGACCAAGAAAGAGAGAAGATCAGGCGTGTAAAAGCAAAATACGCATTTGATTAATTTCCGCCGCAAGCAAAGATACTAGAAAGAGTTCAAAAATAATTTGATAACATCTATTTGCTGTTGATACAGTTAAACGAGAGATGACAGGTGGCAGAAAATAAGTGGAGAAGAGAGTTATTTGGAAAAACCGTTACAATCGAAGAAAGAGATTACAGCTGGCATCAGTTGTTGGCGTGTTCATCACTCTGTTTTGAAAAAAAAAAACAGAGTAAGTAGTTAAGCTTTCTTAATTCATTCAGGAAAATCATTTGTGTAATTATCACTCTTCGAGGTAGTCACAGTATAGAGCGGCTAAGAAAGCAGCTTTTGCTACATACTCTAAGGGTTGTAGATGCCCCTGGCTAAACTTGATCAAACCTCCTGTATATATATAGAGATTGATAGATAGATATCAAAAACTTCATCATCAACACACAATTAATAATGTAACTAGATTTTGAACTGCGCTTGAAAAACATGGGTTTATTTTCGAAATGAAACAAATTCTTCTAAATGAATTTTATATCAGATAATGTATATGTTTAGATACATTTATCCACGTGAACCGAACCATACCAAACTGCAAAAAAAAAACAAAAGCAAAATTAAACTAAACTTCATAAATAATCGGTCATATTATATATTTCTGGAACCGAAAAATAGAAACAGAACCGAGAACCAAATGAGTATTTTAAAACTTTTAAATATAAATTATATACCTACAAATATTAATTATATATAATATCTAAATACTAAATATCCTAAAATACTATTTATAAACCAAATTAGGCAAAAAATGAATTACCCAAATATTTTCTATTAAAAATATCTGATATTTAAATTGTAGGATAGTTTACATTTAAAATTAAATAAAAACATATCAAATGCATTGTTAGATTTTCTAAAATAAATAAACATATATAATATTTAAGTCTCCAACTCATTTAGACCCATTTTATTTCTATATATACAATTAATTATTTAGTTCATGTATAGAAATATAATATCAAATTTTAATAATTGATTGCATGTAATTAATTAAATCATCACAACTTCGGTGTGGTTATGATATTGGCTTAGCAAGTCTTCGTAGGGATACTCAGGGCCCAGGAAGAGCCTTAACCTTGTTAGCAACACCTACAACACATACACAGAATCAGTTTCAACCAAAAATCAGTTTCTTCTCAATCTCATTAGGATAAACCATTTTAACCTGAGTTCCAAGAAGCTTGATTTCCAATCCGAAAACTCCATAATCCGTTCCAGAGGTGGAGAAGGCACCAGCTCTCTCAGCCAATTCATGATTGGTTACAAGATCAAGGTAGTATGCGTCCCCACTTGATGACTCCTCTAACGTGGGCCAACTCTCCAGCGGATTGGTACTTGGAGCAGTACTCAATCACACTCCAGCTGAATTATTTCTTAATTTTTATAAATATTTTTATTATTTTCTTAATTTTTGCTTAATTATTTCTTATTTTTTTCTTATTTTTTTTGAGACCATGTTCGACCGCTTCATTTACATTTGCTATTAAACCGTCTTGCATTTATACTTACATAGTTTTTTTGTAGTTAGAATTGATAGAGGTCTTACTTTTTCATCAAACCAATTACTCCCACTGACATTTAAGGGTGTTATTGGTTTTTATATATTAACAGATTTAAAAAAACAAGTCAAATCTAGTGTTATTGATTTTGTGATTTTATAATCCACATTTAAATTCATTGTTATTGGTTATATGATTTTAAAATATGTATTGAAATTCATTGTTATTGGTTTTGTGATTTCAAAATAAATTTTTAAATCAGGTGTTATTCAGTAATAATGATTTGTTTAAGAATTTGATTTAAACATGAATTAGAATGGATTTAGGAGTGATTTTAAATTAAAAATACAACGAAAAAAATATTGAGTTGAACCTTTTTATTTTGATACATATTATTGATTTTTATAATATTTCTTCAACACAAATTTCCGTATGTGTATTGCATACGCTAATTATAAACAGCACTAGTAAGACTTTTGTTAAACGTAGTCTTGAAATTTTCCATTTAAAAGAACATCAAGCTCTCACACTTTCGAAAGTTTTCTATTTCTGAAAAAAAAAAACAATTGTCCAATTTCTACATTTTCCTAACTAAAATAATACTTTTCTATTTTCTATCGTAATGGTCCATCATAATGTATATATATAATCTCTATTATACATTAGAAAATTAACACAAGAAAAAAAAAACTTGAAACCCCTAAACATCCATGGAATGATCACAACAAGAATAACACACATATAGTATTACTTTTATTTTACTACAAAACTGAACTAATCGCAAATCCATTTGACTGATTTATGATAATCCAGTTATTTTGACTTTGAAATTTATATCCTTGATTCTGAAATCTCCTTATTTGATTTTAAAATCAATGAATTTATCAAAACTTTCTAAATCCAAGAAAGAATCACAAGTTCATTAAAATACTACAATTAATAACCCCTACTAAAAGAGTTTAACTCCACTAATAGAGGATACAATAATATTTTAGGAACAACCGTCTTGCCCGCACTTCTATTTCCTTGTTTGCGCCATGGTCTCCACATTTCAGTCGAGAGGAGAAGAACATAGAAACCGAGATTGCCAACACCCCTCAATCCTTAGGAAATGAGTCTTGCTTGGGTATTAGTTCTGGTGAAGAGCAACTATAAACAAGACAATCACAGACACTCCATCTTCAGTGTTCTTGATCTTTTTCAGTGAGCTGTGTTGAAACTCTCTGGAGATTCAGTGTTTTATATACTTGAACTTCCAACCTATTTAGAGTACTTCTTCCATGTGTGCTACGCTTCTCAGTTTATGAATAATTTTGTTGTTGAGCATAATATACTGTCACTTAAATAATACTAAAACAATAGAAAAGTAGAGGAAAGACTAAAAGAGAGAGAGATTATCAAAGATGAAGCCTGGATGTTTCTAGGTAAAGTTTACCTTAAAGGTAGCCATCACAATAATGACAATTTAGTGACCGACTAGGATAAGACCTGTGTCTTACGCAAGATAAATTTATATAAAAATTACTTAAAACTATTATATAAAAATAAATCTATATTCTTGATTGAATTAGTATTTTGGTCTTTAAACATTGTTTAACTTGTTATTAATTACATAATTTGTTTACTGATGAGCTGATCTCATTTTTTAAAATGTTTTAGGTCAAAATATCACTTACCGCAAAAAAATCTAAGGTTTAGGTTGAAAAATCTCGGATCTATTTGGTTACAATGAAACTATGTTAACTCGGTTTTATATCATGATTTAGCAATTTAAAATTTAATTATGGTTATGAGAAGTTTACATTCACGTGTCATTCCTATTTATCTTCAATATTTTTCTCTTTTTGTGTCTTTTTCATTTTGGTTATTGCTCGATATAAATATTAATTTTTATGTTTATTCTTATTCTGTTTGTTTGTTTTGGCATGAGATTTAGAAAATGCTTAAAATTTAAAATAATTAAAGAGATACATAAACTTTTGAAACATATTTATTCATATTGATTACTTCATCTCTTTTGTTTTGGATTTGGATTTTTCTCTTTGAATTTTTAATTTTTTACTTACCAATCCACCCACACAGATATAATAAACCATTTTAAAGCTATTTTATCTTGTAAATGTTTTCCTTTTGTAACAGAAGCAAGACATGTTTTGAAGTGTAAAAGAGATTAATTGGTTGGATGATCAAAACCAAAAATAAAATAAAAACATATTAGTTTATAAAAATAATATTCGATATCGATTACTTCTCTTCACAATAAGATATATATTATAGTTTGTCCATAATTTGGAAACACTGTCAATGTCACAACATGTGTAACCAAATAACGCTAATAGGCTAATATGATGTAGAAAATTATGAAACTATAAACAAGAGGAAGATAGGTAACATAGTTGTGTGTAACAAATATAAAACTGATAAGTATGAAAAATGAAAAAAAAAAAAAGAAGAGTTGATCTGATTCCAAACGATGATGCAAAATAAAATATAAATAAAAAATTTAGTTTATCTAACTAACAACAATTTATCAAATTTAAAATTTTGGACGTTTACAATCATATCTAATTTGTTGATATATATATTATGTGCAAAAGTTAATATTTTCACAACATAATATATATAAACTTTCATATATATATATATATGTGTGTGTGTGTGTGTGTGTGTGTGTGTGTATAAACGCTAATTTAATATAGTTTTTGTATGATGAAGCACATTTATAAACTTCATAAAATTTAAAAATTTCAATCAAATAATAAATAATTCGATTATTACACTTTCAAATTTTTATGCATATATTTAAACTTAAATTTCATTTATAATAACTATGTATAGACTACAATCAAATTAATATATTTATATATCATCAATACATGTTTTCTAAAATACTATTGAAAAATATTATGATTGTACAATCATAGCAAAACCATATCAATATAAGCAAAACCGGTGCGTAGCACCGGCAACCTCCTTATATATATATATATATATATATATTGTTGGATTCATTTGCATAAAATAAAGCTATGAACCCCAATTTTAAGAGGACATCAAAAAGAGAACTTGATAGTTTTAATTTTTATATATATATATATAACATACTTGGTTTGTTAAAATTGTTCTTATATTAGTTTTGTTGTTTTATGCATATACTATCATATTTGCTTATATTTTTCATATATTTTATATATAATATACTTGGTTTGTTAAATTGGTTCTTATATTAGTTTTGTTGTTTTATGCATATACTTATCATATTTGGGTAATTTTAAAAAGAAAAAAAATTAAATTTAGTTGAGAAACCAATTATTAAAAAAAGTTAGTATAATGATATACCAAGTAAACATTTAAAAACAAATAGTTTACATTTTGTTCGTTTCTTGTTTCTTCATCTAAAACTTAAGCTTCTTCTATGATTATTATAATGATGGTTTCCTTGTTATTGAAACCTATTTAACCATGGAAGGTTTGCGTGAAAATTCGCTGGCCAAATACCATCTTGCATGCAAGACGTACCTCTCCATGTAACATTGTTGTCCTTGAGCAATGCACCAGCTACACACGAAAACACAAAACAAAAGTTTGGTTACAGGTAGACTAGCTATAAAACTGATAAGCACAAGTAAGTAGAGTATATTGATCTTCTAAGCTCCAGATTCTATCAAAACATAAATAAAATTGATATAAATTACAAAATAATTATATAAAAAATATAAAATAATATATTAATAAATTATTATAATGTATTTACTTTGTAAATATTTGTATGTGTATGAATACTGGTAAAATACCTAGCAGATGCCACATTTTTAATTGTTAAAAAAAAATATTACTCCCTCCGTTTCATTTTAGTTGTCTTTCTAGGTTTTTACACACACATTAAGAAAACATTTAATTTTATATATTTTCAAAATAAAAATACAATTACCTATACACCTAACCACTTTTCAACCAATAGAAAAATATTATATTATATAATACTAATAAATTTTGCCCCGAAACTCTAAAACGACATTTAATTTGTGACAAAAAATTAGAGTTAGAATGACAAGTATTCTGAAACGGAGGGAGTACTCTGTAACTAGACATCAGGAGTTATTTCTTATCTTGAATTAACCCCTAAGTTTTTATATCCTTTCAACAAAGACCAGAATGACCAAACTCAAAACTCAAAACTTCAAAGTTGATAGATTGGGAAGTTGAGTTTGGGCTGATAGCTACCGAACGTGGTGTGAAATTATAGGGAGTGAAAATGCTTCTTGATTCTGAAGCCCAAGAAAATGGTATCTAGAGATTATGTTTAGTGGTTCAAAATACCAAAACATTAAATATTCAGACCATTACATGACTACGTGCTTTGCCACGTTGTCCACATGTATAATCCTTCTTCTAGACATTGGTTGGGTTTTGGTCTTTGTGGATATATATCATCATTAATGACGATGACAAAGAGACAAGAGATCAGGCGTATAAGAGCAAAATACGCATTTGATTAATTGCTGCCGCAAGCAAAGAAACTAGAAAGGGTCACGTTCCACTATAGCTTTCATTATTCAACTAACCTATACTTTTCTGTTTCCTTTATTCTTATTTTATATTCTCTTTCTATTTATTACACATCAAAGAGAATCTCCTTTCTCTACAAAAATATTTCTGAAAACTCTTCTTGTTCTTGAAAAAAAGTCAAGGTTCATATTATTTTATATCCTCAAAGATTGGATCTTCTAGTGTGGAGGGAGCAATGAGTAGATGCAATAAACGTAACCAGCAACCTTCATATATTGCTGATCACTTCAACAGCTTAGATCAGGTTTCCAAAACATTTCTTGATTTATTTACTTTTTTGTTAATTTATCATAGTTGATGAAGTAAAGTGATAATGAATTCATCTTATTGTGATTTTTCATTAGGTGATAACTTCTTTACGAGAAGCTGGACTTGAATCTTCAAATTTGATACTAGGAATTGACTTCACCAAGAGCAATGAGTGGACAGGTGATTTCTTATAAATTCATAATCAATAAAAAAAAACTATTTCAATTGGTTTTTAGTGTTTTATTTGCTCTGAATCTCGTTGCAGGAAGATACTCATTCAATAGAAAAAGCCTTCACGCCATTAGTAAAAGACAGAACCCATATGAACAAGCTATATCCATCATTGGCCGCACTTTGTCTCCCTTTGATGAAGATGATCTCATACCTTGTTTTGGTTTTGGTGATGGTTAGTTTCTTTAACTTTACCTTAATTTTCAAGATAAAGATTGATAAAACTCTAAGTGTGTTCTACTCTTCTTTCTTACAGCAACAACAAGAGATCAGTATGTGTTCAGCTTTTACCCTGACAACAAAAGCTGTGAGGGATTAGACAAAGCTGTGAAAAGATACAGAGAGATTGTTCCTTATTTGAAGTTGTCTGGACCTACCTCGTTTGCACCAGTTATTGATGCAGCCATTGACATAGTTGAGCAGAACAATAGGCAGTACCATGTTCTTGTCATTATAGCAGATGGTCAGGTCACAAGGAATCCAGATGTGCCACCTGGTCGGCTTAGTCCACAGGAAGAAGCTACTATCAACTCCATAATGGCAGCTAGGTAAAACACAAAACTATTCAAATAAGCTCAACTTCATGGTCTTAGTTTCATCATATTAATGTTGTCAAGGGCCGTCCTAAAATTTTTGAAGGCTATAGACAATTTAGCCAAAGTTTGAATTATTATTTTCATTTTTTTTTTTTACAAATTTGGGAGCCTATATATATGTGAAAAAAAATTCTATAATTTTGCAAGCTATAAAGAATTTAATATTTGCTTTATTTTTTTATATATGTTAAATATTTTTCAAGCTGATGTTGTTTTAATATATATAAAAATGCAGCCATTACCCATTGTCAATAGTCTTGGTTGGAGTAGGAGATGGACCATGGGACACAATGAAACAATTTGATGACAATATCCCTCACCGCGAATTCGATAACTTCCAGGTAAATAAGATTTAACAGTTTTATTGTTTTTTTTTCTCTTGGATATGATGATCAGTGGAAAAAACTCTGTTTCCCTTCCACAGTTTGTGAACTTCACAGAGATAATGTCACAGCACAAAGATGCAGCTAAGAAGGAAACTGCTTTTGCATTAGCAGCTCTCATGGAAATTCCTTTTCAATACAAAGCCACATTAAGTCTCGAGTAAGTGGTGTAACTTCTTGTATCATAGACTTCTTGAAACTGCTTTTGATTTGTGTGTTGTGTGGGCATTAGAAAAAAAGTTGGTGGTTCACGTTTGCATCACAAGCCTCTCCCACCACCACCAGAGGTCTTAGAGCGTGACAATGCTGTCAAATTAGTGCCAAATCCAACTGCAGAGAAAAGTGATAGAACGGCTCCAGTAACACAACCTGTATGCCCAATTTGCTTGACGAACCCAAAGGACATGGCGTTTAGCTGCGGTCACACGGTAAGTAAAATATATAAAAAAACTCTTGCTTGCTCTATTAAACCAGATCGGTTTTGTGATATCTTTTTTTGTTTTTCATATGAAAGACGTGCAAGGAATGTGGTGTGGTTGTCAAGACATGCCCAATGTGTAGACAACCTATAACAACGAGGATAAGGCTGTACACTTGATTAGGCAAAGACCATTGGTGTAAGAACTTAAGTTTCATGTACTGTACAGACCAAGGAAAACAATAAATAATAATTTGTATATATTGCATTAGCTGTGGTCTCTGCAAAGAACTTAAAGATTTTTTCTTTCTGACTGTTTAAGCAACACACAAAGGTCTCTAAGGAAAAATCGATTACACTTTACACAAACTTACATATAATCAAATTATTGTCACCTGTTAAAAAAACTAATATACTAGTTGAAGTTGAAGCTAGCGTTGCGGCTCCATCTCCCTTTCAAGTAATCTTCAACGGAGATACTACTAGCTTCAGGACTACTATCAGAAGCTGCATCATCTTCCAAATCAAGCAACGCTAAGTTTATATGTGATTCTATGTTTGTCAAATGCGTTGTTGCATCTTCTGAGACTCTTACTTGCTGCTTTCCCCATTCTGTTGCTTCTTCGTCTCCTTGTAGTATCTTCACAACCTGTTAATTAATGAGTTAACACAAGCAGAGACTAAAGAAAAGGTTGAGAAGATAAAGATGTATATAGCTTACTTGGCTCATTTGTGGACGGCCATGAGGTGACCGTTTGATGCATAGTGTGGCAGCTAACAGTAGCTTCTCGATTAGATCGTTATTGCTATCATCAGTTTCTAGGCTTGGATCTAGTAACTGAGCAAACTTTCCACTCTCTAGAATTGGGTTTGCCTGTGAAAGAGATATACAACTTAAGTCTTTTTTTATACAGCTTAAGTCATTTCATGTAGACATAGAAATGTGATGTTATGGATGATCATATTGCTTACCCATAAGACAAGGCTCTCTTGACCTTTAGACTGGTCGACGCAGATTGGTTTTCTACCTGATAGGAGCTCGAGTAATACAACACCAAATGCATAGACATCAATCTTGTCGGTTACTTTACCGTGCATGAAGTACTCTGGTGCTAAGTAACTGTCAAGAAACAAAAAAAGAACGTTAAGTTGATGATTAATGGAGTGATGTTGGTTTTAAAGGAAGGTGAAAAGAGTAAATTCAATACCCAAATGTTCCGGCAATATCCCCACATGACACATGCTGTGAAGCATTTGAAGCCAGGCTAGCAAATCCAAAATCTGAAAGCTGAAACAATCACAAAATTTCAGGAAGATTGTTTCATTGCATTGCATCTAATGAGATTGAAATGTAGCAGTACCTGTGGCTCAAAATCATCGGCTAACAGAACATTAGAAGATTTCACATCTCGGTGAATCACTTCTGGGTCATGAGTGTTATGCAAATAGTCTAACGCCTCAGCAACACCAACCGCTACTCTATATCTCTCCACCCAGCCAAAACTTGCTGGATCCTTTCTATCACCTGAAGTCAAGAAATGAGAAACATTCAAGATAGATATTTCTCAATCCAAATGGAATATCAGCTAGTTACCGTGAAGGTTTTCTTCGAGGCTTCCTCGTGGTAGATAGTCATACACCAGCATCAAATTATTATTCTCAAAACAGAAACCAAAGAGAGAGACAATGTTCTTGTGATTTACACTTGTAATGACTTCAATTTCAAGTTTGAACTCCTTCAACACATCCAAGCAAGGCTTCAGTACTTTGACAGCTAGCTCCCTTCCATCTGGTAAGTCTCCTTTATATACATAACTATTTCCACCTTCTCCAATCAAGTTATCTAGAAACAGAGAAGAAAGATGTAAATCAATAATCTAAGGATCAGACCAAAACCAACCTATGTTAGAATACCTGATGCAAAGTTTGAGGTAATTGACAGAACTTCCTCATATGTGAATAATCTACATGTGGAAGAGTATTTTTCATGTAGACCCTCCAGCTCTTCTGGAATGTTGTTTGTTCCAATGCAGGGAGAACGAGGAGACTGCACAAGCTCAGAACCATCCATGCTAGAAGAGCAATCTTCATCACAACCAGAGTCACTCCGTTTCCTATCGAGATAAGCTACAGCTGCTGAATCCCGTCCCCGGAGCTTCGAAACCCATTGAAGTAAAGCCTTCTTAGCTGAAACTTTGGTCCAGCTTTTCCGAAGAAAATGCCAACCTGGTCCTGAGGAATCTGAACCATTCTCGTTTGTTTGTACTGGCACTAAAGCTAATGAGTTGTCCACAACTATGCTTTCAGGAGACTGTAATGAGGAAGTGTGAGTAGTTCTCGTTCTTGCAGGACTAAAACTGTTTCCAATCTTTGCAGCTTCAATAGCAATGTTGGGTGAAACACAAACTAAAGAGGGACGATTCATATGTGGACTATCTGCACCAGCAAAGCGCAAAACTTACGTTAACAAAAAACAAAGTAGACCTCGACAGTTCACACATTCAACAATAGTTCTAAAAGTCAGCATAAGCCGAAATTATTCTAAATCAGTTTAAATCGATCTAAATTAAGTAATAATGTTAGTACAAATCAACAATTTTTCTAATTTCTTTTGTTTTGTATATCTAATTTTGATAATTCATCCAAAATAATCTGCTTAGTAGCTAACCCTCAAACACCTAGTTACCTTACCACCTAGCATTTCCATAAACATTGCATTCAAACTATCAGAAACTAAGTCAGTAACATACCATTGCTACTATGTACTCTGCGGAACATAATCTTCCCACTCTTAACAGCAAAAACAGAGACATCCTTAGCAAGATTCCTAGCACAATACTTAGCTAAGGAAGCTGATGAACGAATCGTGTGATGTCTCTTAGAAGAACCAACGATCAAACTCGTTGCTCCACATGATTTCACTTCCTGTACAAGAACTTTCCTAGGTGACTTCCCTCTTAAGAATTTCAACTTCAAATCAACCTGTTCACAACAACATTTTTAAAAAAAAAACAAAAAAACTAATATTAATAATCTCATCAAATACAACAATTACAGTAACTTTCCACTTGTGAATTGTTAAACATCCATCAGTAACTTTAAAAACAAACTAATATTAATAATCTCATCATATTAAAATATTAAAAAAAAACAAACTAATTTTTCAGTACCTTTTTTTTATAAAAAAAAAAGTAATATTAATAATATCATCAAATACAACAATTGCAGCAACTTTCCAATTGAATTGTTAAACATCCATCGAATTTTTCAGTAACTTTCAAAAAAAAAAAAACTAATACTAATAATTTCATCATATTAACATATTAAGATAATAAAATTCATTAAGAAGCTCCACAATTGACAAATACAACAATTACAGTAACTTTCCACTTGAATTGTTTTTTTCTATGCTTTTTTTTTCACTTGAATTGTTTTTTTTTCCACTTGAATTGTCAAACTTGCCTGTTTTAAATTGCAGAAGCTTTCGTATACACTAAGCATAGTGTCGAAACTCCTAACCAGCGATATAAGCGACGTTGAGCCTTCTGCACAAACAAATTAAAAACAAAATTAAAGATAATTAAAACGAAATTAAGAAGAAAAGAATCTTAGATCGCAAAATTAGGGTTTTAACGAACCGAGAGAGTAATCGATGACGTGGAGAGCAATGATTCGATCTCCAGGACGCGCTACATTCACCAAAGACCACGTAAGCACCTCTCGACTCCATTCATCAGGATTTACACCGACGATTACTAACGATGAACCTTCCGTCGCCGTTAACGGTTTCTCGACTCCGTTAGGTTTCATTTGATTCACACACTCTCTCTCTATCTCTTTTTCAAGCTCTCATAGTAGAGAGAGAATCACGTTAACTGTCTCCGGGAGGAAGGTGAGAGAGAGAGAAGGCGATGTGTTTTTGAATGAATCTAAGCCGTTGATTTACGTTTATGATCTGATCTTTTATTTTTTTTTTTATGAGTTTAATTTATGACGAAAAGGAAAATAATTAAATAAGCACGAGGGGAATAATTATGAATGGAGCATGTACATCTCTCTATCATTCATTCTCTTTCACAGGACATAAAAGGAATCTTCTCTTTCCTTTATTTATTTTTTTCCCCACTTTATTTATTTTGCGATTAATTTCGTTCTTTGAATTTGTAATTGAATACGTGTAACGCCTGGTTTTTTTAGTTTAGTTAATTGTATTAAATGTCATTATCGTATATGTCTCGTCCACCAAAAAAATTCATGCATGTTTAATTTTCAGTAAAGAGTAGCCAACTCTTTTTATTTGTATATATAAAAAATCAGCTTAAAGTAGAGGACGTAATAGATCCGTCGGTGAGGACCAAACATCAAAAATGTCTTTGTTATATTGGTTTTAATTTGATTTTGCTTTATATTATTTCCCCACCATTTTTGTGCGTCTTGCCAAATCATGTGAAGAATGTTTCTATTTTGTTAGTATTGGATATTAATATATTTTAAAAATCTACAAAAAGATTAAAAAAATTGTTTTCTAGAAGAACAGAGCAAATCACATTGGGAAAAAAATAGTTTTGTTACCATATATTTGGACGGGTTAATAGGGTACAAAGATTTCTTTGGACTACCACGAGTTGGAGTTATATGGTAATCAAATTTCAATTATAGTAGTAATATATTATTATCTCATTAGACATTGGGATCTGGGAACAACAAAGCAAAGCAGACATCATTCTTTTAGATTGTGTCATAAAGCATTACTTAATTATTACTAATTCACATTAACTAGTTGTTACCAATGCACATAAAAGTGTATAGTCGAGTTACGTGTAAAATCTTGCATATCAGCCTTCCACTAAGATACCACATAGATAGATTTGTAAATCTTGGAGTTAAGGTATGACTAGCTTAAACATGTCATTAGTATCGCTATTACTTTACCATCTTGAATCAAAAAGCTAGAATACTTATCGTTTATTTATTTTCAGAAAAGAGTCTTTAAGATGATCTTCTCGATTACATTTTCGATCCTTTATTTTAAAATCGTGTTGGAAAAAGAAATAGTATACCCTTTCAAACTTTCATGGTGTTCTAATAAGTCTAATATGACTAGAACCTTTTATTTAAAATCATATCCCTAGAGGGTGAAGAAGACCAAAAGGAGATAATATTAAACAAAAAAAAAGAACCAACAAAATGGATCCACATTAACTTACTACAACATACCTAAACTAAAAAAAAATCATTGTAGATTAGATATAATTTTGTGAGTACGATTCAGCATACCACGTGAACTATTATATTTGAGTAATCCAGCTAACCGTGATTTACGCAAATCATGAATTCCAGAGCTAAAAATGGCCGTTAATTACTACAGTAGTTGTCATTAAATAAAATAAACTATAAACCTTAATCACTAGGAAAAATCATGTATGATTCAATGTGTTGGTTCTTGTAGAGACAACTGTAAACATGTTCTCACCATTCGAGTCCATGGATAATGATTGGATTCGCACTAATCAACCATGCTAAATAAATATATAGAAAGTAAAGAGAAGTTACCGTTAAGAGTTACGGTTAGGGCAAGCATTGGCAAAATGTGAAGGATCACCACATGAGAAACACCTTCTACCACTCACTGGCTCTCCAGTTGCAGAAACAAAGCTTGTTCCACCGCCGCCACGTCCTCTACCGCTTTGGCCGCCATCTCTATTTCCACGGCCACGACCACGGCCGCGTCTACCGCTTCCGCCGCTATTAGAACCTGTTGTTGCATTCCCAGTACCATTGCTGATGCTATCTTCCCATCTGTCACAAAACATTATAAAAATTCGAATTTAGTGATTTAATGGAACAAAAATGGATTTAATAAAGGGTGATGGATACTGCTTACGTGAAGAAATTGCAGCCTTGTGATGGACATGAATAGAACTTCCTTCCCCTGTTAGCTTCTGTGTTCGCTGTACGAATAGCACATGGTGTTCCACATGTGGTACATGATACTGTTGTTTCATCTGCATTATGACAACGATTATTGAGAAAATGAGATGATGTTTTGTTTGCTAAAAAACATCATAGAAAGGATCCAATTTACCGTTTCTCGGATTTGTTGTTCCAGTACTAGTACGAGGATTTCGATATCCTGAAGCACGTGAGGGACAATTAGCAGAAGTATGTCCTCCTTGTTGACAGTGTATGCAGACGTTGTTGTTCTGTCTTATGTTGCTTCCTCGGACATTGTTTTGTGTTGCACCTGGAGCTGCCCTTGCTACAAGAACAAAATGTTTAATTGTTGTTAGTTCAATGTTTATCTGTTCACAAGCCAAGCCAACATAACACTTCTTGCATTCTTGTTTAGTAAGAAGATGAAAATAATCATTTTATGATGTCTAATACATGTCAATTAAGTAATGTGCAACTACAAGCACTAACCTTGAGAACGAGATCCAGTTCCACATATGTCTATCAATTGTTTAAGAACGTCATCACAGCCACCAATACAGCCTGAACACGATGAAAAAAAAACTGGAAATCAGCAGCGATTCTGACATGGTGAACCACTGAAAATAAGTTTCAAAGAATTTGCATACCTAAGTGATTAACATCAAAGCCTGGTGGAATTCTGATCTGACGGAACTTGAAACGTATCTTGTAGACAGGACCTACAACAAAAAAAGCATCATTAAAACAATAAAAAGGAAACGTTTAACATATAGTTATTAGATTTTTCTATTCACTGTGTTACTGAAAGTCTAGGGTGCTACCTGGACCACAAGATTGACAAGTATCCGTAGTGACAGATGCTTCCAGTGTAGGTCCAGGAAGCCAAACTGCATTCCGACACTGAATAATTGGCAAATGTGTTAGATTAATAGTTACAGGCAAAGAAGATATACTGAAATGCCAAACTAATAGATAATAATTATCAGAAATAAGGGTGGAAAAAGTATAATTCATGAGGTATGTAAAGAGCTGTGAGATTCTGACCTGAGGATAGCCCATGCATCCAACCATAAAATTGCCATCCTGCAAAGAAAATGGATTAGACTGTTTAACCAGTTGCTCTTTCATTAACAAGCGAGAAAAGAGCAATCCATATCCAACATGGAAAATGATTTTGATGGATCATATAACTACCTGGTTCTTCCTGAGCGCCATATCTGATTCATGGCAAAGGTTGCATCGGCGAACAACTTCACCAATTGTCTGATTGTCACCTTCATCAGTGTTATTGGATCTGCACATACAGTTCCATATATTATATTATGACAGAAAAGGCTCAAGGGACACAGTACTTGAGCTAAGTAAGAAGAACACCTTTCAAAAAAAATTGTCATTGCGTCTAGGAGCTTTCCTTTTTTGATTCTTGCCTGCGGGGATTAATTTTGTTAATTAGAAATATAAAATCATGGCCTTCCGTTTCAGCCCATTGCATTAGTAACAGCTTCAGCGGAAAACAGATTTGGCCACAGAGAGAAGACAAATAATTTATATATGAAAAAGCTCACTCACATCTAAGAAACAAGCTTTCATTTGCTGCAAACAAGTTTCAAGAACTTCAGCTTTAGTCTTGTTCCCAACACTAACTTCATTCATATCATGTTCCATGATGGCTCTGAGGTTTGGTTTCCAAAGTTCATACCTGATATGAAAAGGAAGGCAACAAAAAATACATCAAATTATTATGGGGGCGCTCTTCAGCGTGGTAATAGATAGGACCATAATATAAAGACTAGACATTTCGTCATCAGATTTCCTCTAATCACAAGGGATATATGATTGAAAACCACAAATATAAGAAGTCTCTAAGTTGCTTATACATACCCCATGTCATCATATCCCATAACAAGCGCCTCACCCTGTAAATTCAAATCAGAACAGCAAGGTGACTTCTGAAACTTTATTTAAGAAAGAAAGTGGGGGCATGTTTAGTCTTTTAGAAAGCTTAGTGTTTATCAACTACCAGGTTGGTTGGAGAGAATCGCGTATTAGCATCCTTTGTAGCATAACCCCGATCAAGGAGTTTCTTTATGTGGTCGTGCATTGTCGCATCAGTGCCAATGCCTGCCTAACATTCACAAGAATGTAGGATAATAATTAGCTACGAACATGATTGGATGAGATATAGGGTTTGATGGACAAGAATATGCAATCACCACCGTGAAAAGTGGGGCAAACAAGACAGTTTTACTCACCTTGTCCATACAACTCAGTAAGTCAGCTTCACACAATAGCGGTGGTGGCCTTGTTACCGCTGAATCCAGAGTCAAACGTGTTGGGATGAACTGCACAATAACAAAACATTCAGAAATATCAATGGTTGTCGTGACTGTAAGAACTAAGTAGAAAGGTACACAAAAACATCAAAGGAGTGAAAGTTGAAACATAATTTCCATCAGTTCAGGTAGCCTCTTGTTTAAAAATAGAAGATAAACCACTTAAATAGTTTCCATCATGAATGAGAAATAGCCCAGTTTAGTAGTTATGCCCTTTCAATTTCAACTAGAAATCACAATGCGGAAAGTTATACCCTTCATTGCCTTATAGTTTAGTAGTTAAGGAATGTTACATGAACGCAAGGAGAAAGTAATTAAAATGAGACTAGGCTGAGAGATAGAAATAAAAAATCTCCTACAAGCAGATCCGAGAGAACTTAAGAGAATCACAAACCTGCTGCCCTTTTTCATACACTGGAATCACTGAACCTCCCCATGATTCAAAGCGGTACACCTCAAGGTAATTTTTCTAATCACATAAAGAAAAATAAGGTTAGTATCCAAGTTATTGCTGATACGGCAAGCACCGAGACATAAGTAGCGAGGAGCGAGTCTTACAGCTAATATTGCTCTCCCAGATGCAGAAAAGCGCTCACCAGCAATATCAATTTCGACAGTAGTTTCAGCCGCAACTGCTGGCTGGGAAACACACGCTAGGTAATGCCGGACAACAAGCTCATAAACGTTCTGAAGAAGTGAAAAAAAAAAACTTCAACTCCAAAGAAATTAAACTATATCATACCTTTCGTTGGATATGTTAAACAAATAGACATCCATACTTACAAGGTGATCTCTGCTCCAGTTAGACTCTCCGCTAGAAAACTTTGTTGGGTGAATGGGTGGATGAGCCTTGTCATCATGACCACCATTCCCCGGGTTTCTCCAGAGTCCCCGTTCAGGCTCTAATAGTCTTTGTGCATATGGACCCCATGCAGGATGTCTTGTTTGTTCCTCCACCATGGCCTAGACACAACTAAAGATCTTTAGGGACTAAAACTACCAGCAAAGCAACAAAGTAAATCATTCATGAAAAAAAAATACCCACACGTAAATCAGTCCTGCTTGAAAAGGAATCTGTCTCTGTACGAGGATAGCTGATGAAACCAGCCTGATATAGCTCTTCTGCCACCTATCCAGACTTGTTGATGTTATTAAGCAATTCAGAAAGTCAATCAATCTAGAAGTAAGCAGAAAAATATACCGAGATACAATAGGATTTAGATAATTTTGGAGAACATGCAGTCCTAATAGGCAAAAATGAATCATAGAGAAACTTAAGCGAAGCAGTATATCTTCTTCTGACCTTCATGGTATGCTCTGAACTCAGGCGGAAGTATCTTGAAGCACGTTTCTCAAGTTCAATGGTGTTCAAAGGATAAGGAGGATACTTAAATTTTTCCCTTGGATGTGGGACATTCATTACCTGGAAAATGATAATAAGAGATACACAATATTAAGTAGAATATGCATTATCAGATAACAAAGATGTTTCTTGTTTTACTCACGGTGGCAGTAGGTTCCGCAACACACATCTCATATAATATCGCAGCAGAAGCATAATCAAAGAGATGACCACGCCTGCAATAAAAATTACATCAACACCACATTCAAGGACAATAAACCGGAAAACAACAGTAGGCATGGAGGTTGGTAAAAGTACATCCAATTAAAGGTGGCAAGTCCTTCTTGTGATTCATGAGAACAATTGATTGTCCAAAACTCCTCTGGTTCATGTGCCTGGATCTCCCAGTATCTCTCCACAATAAAACCAAGTGTAGGAAACTGCAGTTGAAGCAAAAAAAATATCAAACCTCGCTGCATGAAAACAAGGGCTACCCTGACTCTGATATACATAATGGGACTAATAGTTCTGAAAATTACCTGACAAGGACCATAACTTATTACACGACTCCTCTCTTCATCACCCGTGGAGTCAATAGAGAACCTATCTTTCAGAAGCATAGTCTGAAATCTAGTGAATGAAGCACCAATGCGTAGATCTATTTCCTGAAGTATCCAAAAGATAATATTAGCTTAGTACAAATTTAACAGAGTTATCAACGCATAAGCATCACAGGGATGTCATGAGAAACTTACTTGTCTAGCATCAACAGCCTGAGCAAACAACTGATTAGGTTCTCTGAGATTTTGAACTGCTTCATGAATCTCCCTAAAAATTTTCAAATCCCAACACACACCATTATACTAGATTCCATAGTTTTGATGTAGAGTGAGAACATAACAAACCTATCAATCAACGCAGAGAAATGAGCTCTTCGTATATAAAGATTCTGTTTCACAGCTCTACAAACATCCACAACTTCAAATGCAATGTTTTCACCTTCCCTATCACAATCTAGCCACAGCACAAGCCAATCACTCCTCCTTGCTTCCTCCTCCAACGTCTTCTTAATATCCTTCTTATCCTATTAAGGAAACGAAAGAGAAGAGAGAAAAAGTTTGTTATGAACGTTGAATCTTTTCATTAATCTTAACTGTGTACACATTGTGCTCTCTTATATACAAGTGAGGCTGAGCTAACTTACACACCTAACTGCAACTAACTGCTAACATACGCTGTATCTGATATATATCCTAAACCTTGTTAAAAAAATCGGCCGTCTAGCCGCCTAGGCGACACTCTTCCGCCCTGATTATGCCAAATTGCTGTAAAAAATCTGCCGTTCAATTTTAGTCCGCCAGGATGACCGCCTAGACCGCTAAGCCGCCTGAATGACGGCCTAACCGCCTAATCTATTTTTTTATTATTTTTATTTTTAATAATATTTTATCTATTTATTTGATCTAAAATTTGATAAATGTAACTTATAATCATAATTTTGATGACAATTAGACCATATTATATTTGTGTGTTTTATATGGTTCTAAATATGAAAATGTATTAATGTTATACACAATTATAGATTAACATGTTTTATAACATATCAAATAATCTAAATATTCTGCCCGTATAATCTCCGATTATTCCCCATTTTCCGATTAGCGCCTAGCGAGTTCCCGAACTTAAACCACTCAAAACCATAATTAATCAAGAAATCGACACCAAATCAAATCTGACGTGTCAATCGAATACCTCGGGGACGTGTTTCATAACCGGAGCCTGGTACAGATCCGCCGGGTCGCAGGAGTGCCACTTGCGGAACCGATCAGCGAACTCGAGCTCCATCAAGTGACCGATGACGGAGGTCATCATCATACGACACGGCTGGCCGTTGATTGCGTAATCGAACTCGAAGATTTTGTTGTAACGAGACCTTCCTTCCCGAGTCCGGAAACTTCCGCGGGAGAGAATCCCAGCCACTGATTTCGCAACCGAAGGCTTCTCCGCCACGTTTAGTACCGTCACGGGACCACCGCCTCGCCGCGACATCGCTCCGGAGAGAAAAGCCTTAACGTTTAATGATTTCGATTTTTTTTTGGTTTCAGGAGGCGAATTTTCCCGCCCTTGAGGCTTCTAATCGAAAACAAAATAAGGTCTTAATTTAGGATATTTATGCGAGATATTATGAAATTACAAATGAACCCATTTGTTTTGATATATTATTTTAGGGCCCGGCCCAAAGTTGTATATGGTATCTTTCAAATATATTATAATTAATCATTAGAAAATGTAATTAACTAAAAATATCAATACCAAATGGATTAGGGATATAATTAATGACCGGTATAAGTGAGAGAGAGAGAGAGAGAGAGTCAAATTTGAATGTATCTCGGATAAATGAGTTTATATACCAGATCAGCCCGGTTTGGATAGTATGTTAGAAGATAGGCCTCAGCATAAAATCCGTAACCCGAAATTCGAACCGAACCCGAACCGAAAGATCCGAACCGAACCGGTCCGAAATATAAAAGATACTCGAATGGATCTTGTAAAGTGGTATGAAACATATCCGAACCCGAAGTGTTATTAACCGAACCCGAATAGATAACCCGAAATAATCAAAAAACCCAAAAATATATCAGAAGAAACCGATCCGAATATCTAAACTAATATACAATATAATTATATGAAACATAAATATATATTTCAAATATTAAATTTTATATTTATTTTGATATGATATGGAATAATAAGTATTTAAAATTAATTAAGTATATCTAATTTTTAATTCTATATAATTAAGTATATATTTCTTATGTTTTCCTTTTAAATTTAGATTTTAATTCGGCTATATTAGAACCGATCCGATTTAACCCAAACCCGGATGATACAATATATGGTTACTATATGGGTTTTATGATGTGATACAAAACCGACCCAAATCTGACATGTAATTACAAATTTACTAGAATGAGACCTATGAGGTGGTATAAAAAAACACCGAAATCCTAAAAATCTGATCCGAATGCCAATGGGTACCCGAACGCCCAGGTCTATTAGAAGATGTCTAGCACCAAGTGGCCATAACTAAATGGGCCGAAACATGTGAACTGAATAGAAAACAAACCCAACACCCGTTTGCCGACTAGAAAAAAAAAACTCTTTTTCCAGTATATAATGTAAACCCGTTTAAACAAGTTCTTAAGTCCTAATAAGTTCCAGCAAAAGAAAATAAAAAAAAAACAGCCCTAAGTCTTTTGATCTCCAGATATTTCCTGTCTACATCACGACGACGAAGTGAGTTATGAACGTTTTTATTAAAAATTTGTAAATTGATTATATAGTTCTGATTTGTGTTATTATTATTGTGTTTTGATTATTGGTAAGCCCTAGCTACATGGAACCAAAATCAACCTCCTCTGGTGTTCTTCGTCGCAAGCCACCATCATTCAGATTTTATCCATACACTTCAGGGTCAGTGATATTACTTAGTGCTATTTGAGAGTCTCTCAGTCAGAAAACATTGGAATAATTTTTTCTTTTTTTTTTTTTTTTGTAGGAGCTCCTTTGTAAAGGAGGGGATGAAAGAGGAGGTTGTAAGATTAGGAGTTGAGTTCTCTGTCTCTGTAGCTGAATTGATGTTCTTGTCATGCGATGATATTCGTACTATGTTGTTCACCTTACTGAAGTTATGGAAATATGTACTACCGGAGTCGAGTCCTGTGGTAGGAAGGTTGTTTCTCGTTATTCTTTACATCTACTCCAAAGATATCAAACCGAAGAATAATGGAGTATTATACCAGAACGGTGAAGAAGGCAAGTCACCCCAGCGGAATCTTATCAAGACAACTTTGAATGACTTTGTTTGCGGAATCATAGTTTTGCTTCGCCTTGTTGTTTCGGTTCTCAGAGTAAAAGATAACTGCTCTTTCCATGATAGGCTATTATCTTCAGCTATAGCAAAATACAAGCAAGAGCTGAAAAATCTAGAGGATAAATTGAGGCCTGCTAAAGATGTTTCAGAGGCCAATGGGTTTGCCAGGGAGACAATAAAGTCAAACATTTTTCAGTTTTGGAAGTCTCTCTTTGAAGCTCACATGGAAATAACGAGAGAGACGGAAAATAGGATGCGTAGGGAGTTGTTTAGGGGTATTGATGGTGAGACTTGGGATGTAGAGATAATGTCACTGCCCTTATTACATCCTCCTTACATTTTAGGAAGAGATTTTATAAAACAGGAGCTGAAAGACGAGGTTGTGCGACGTGGAGTTGAGCTTTCGCTATATGTAGCTCAATCAATGTTTTTGTTGTGTGATGACATTCGTAGTATGTTATTGTTCTGCTTTAAGTTATGGAGAGATGCGAAAAGGTGCGTTTATCCTAACAGCCTCGTGTTGGAAAGAGTGGTTCGTGTGATTCATTATGTCTACTTCAGATATATCGAACCGAAGAATGGAGTATATCGTAATGGTGGCTTGTCTGTCCATATGAGACTCGCTATAACAACTTGGGAGAATTTTAAGTCTGTGATTATATCTATGAATCTCCTTGTACTGGGTTTCAGACAAGAAAGAAGATGTGCGTGTGGACCGAACTTTCTGTCTAGTATGTCTAGTTTGGAAGAACAACTGAAGAAGGTAGAGGAGAAGTTGAGGTGTGGGAAGGTTGTTTCAGAGGCGAATGGGTTTCTGAAGGAAGTGATAGAGCCTAGCTTTTTCGGCTTGTGGAAGTCTCTCTTTGATACAGAAGCTAATAATGTTGAAGCAACACAGACTTTGAGAGTGATAAGGTATAGAATTCTTCATGACCTTTTTCTACCTCTACATAACGAAGTAGCACCACCACTGTAGCTGCTACTAAGTTACTTGTTGCCTCTATCAAACTAGAATAATTGTTATCATTGATTGGTATTTTGTCTCGAATTTGGTTTCTTTAGATTGTTTGATGATATAATCTAAGTGATGTTATAAAACTCTTGGTCATAATTTGGATTTTTATGACAAAACCGTTTTACGCTTAAAAACCAAAGATCATTGAACCAAGGAATATAGGAGTTAGTGGTATATATACAAATGGAAGAGACTTTAATGATTCAAGAGCAGTAAAAAGTGCTACAGGAATTGATAAAATCGTTTTGCTAATCAGTTTCTTGTAACTCAAGGAACAAACCAACCAAAACATGTCTTGATCACGTACGTCAAGCATCTCATCAACAACAAGCTTCAAACAAAACGTACATCATCATGAGTCACTCTATCCCTATATTCAGATGAGACTATAAACATGTTTGTTTTCATTAATTTGACACATGAAATATATATATATATATATATATATATATAGTGTATCTGAATTTTTTAGGTTTTAAGTGAATATAAACAGATAGAAGTGAATATATGTACAAACCAAAACAAAATGTTAAGAGAAATGCTGAATTCAAATATCTAATTTTTGGTCGAACTAGAAACGGCTTTGATTTATATATGTAGTATTTATTTATTTTTTTGAAACTATATGTAGTATCTATAAGAAAAGAAAATGAGAGTGAACCAATTGAAACTAATCGAACCGCAAAAAGACAAAAAAAAAATGAAATTGACCTAATTGAACGGAAGTGCTAAAAGACACATCAGAAATCACTTTAGTAGTTCGGAGAGTGAGCTGAATCATCAACAGGAGGATGTGGTGGTGGTGGGGGCTTGTTAAGTGGCGGCAATAGTGATGGTGAAGCGTTTGCAAACTCTTCTATTAACTCTTGAATATCCAAACCATCAAAGTTGAGTTGAGGAATATCCAAACCATCGAAGTTGAGTTGAGAAATATCCAAACCATCGAGATCGGGTTCGAAATGAAGCCCATGAGGGTTGATGTCAGGATGCGCATAAGCTTCTGTATCAGTGTGGTCAAGCCCCTCAAAAAAGTCAAAGTCAGAGTCAGGTAGAGGTGTAGTAGTCCCATGCATTTTCACGAAGTCTTGAAAGTTCTGCATGCATCAAAAGGAATTGTTTTTTTTTTTTTTTTTTTTTTTTTTTTTTTTTTTTTTTTTTTTTTTT